TAATTCCCCAGCACTGTTCCCATCCCCCCAATTACCCAATAAAAATCTTAAAAAAAAAAAAAAGAGATCAGAGAAAAGAGAAGGCAACAGCAAAGCAGGCTGAGGAGCCGCTCTCCGGAGGTTGAGTGAAAACAGTGCGTCTCCAAAAGAGAGACTCATCAACTGTGTCATCATGTCTAGAAGTCAGGTAGGATGAAGACTGAGAATTGACTATTGTATTTAGCAACATAACAGTGATATGCTGGTAAATGTTTAACCACTGACTCTCCAGGGGTGGGGATGTGGGGGGCCTGATTTGTAGAATTTGCCGATTTCCATGTTGAAAATAATCCCACCATGGCCAGTTTCAAGCCATTAATGTTATGTCACTGAGTGTAGAGTTTAGAAGAGATGCACACAATTGGCTCTCAAGAGGCAGTGAAAGCTGGCCCAGCACCCCTGAATGTTAATGGTATCCATTGCCTGACAAAGCTTTGGCTTTGGCTACCAAGAGGGGACTGCCTGGTCAAGCATGAACCTGGCGTGACGAACCCACATCACCTAGACAGGGCCAATCAATATTTATCTTATTAACCAACATCTATTTATTGGGGGCAGCCCAAGCATCTTATTGGAGGCACCTGGGACCCAGAGGAGGACGTCATGGTCCCTGCAGCCCAGACTCATGCTAACCTTTAAAGAGAGTGCATTCCAACAATGAAAAGGCAAAAGGCATATCCCCTAAGCCCACAAAAAGTGCAGATTAGAGTTAGGCAGCCCCAAACCAAGAAGCACCAAGGATTGCCAGCAGCCACCAGACACTAAGAGAAAGGTATGAAATGGATTCTTTTTCAGGCCTCCAAAAGGAACCAGCCCTGCCAGCACCTTGATGTGGGGCTTCTGGTTTCCAGAGCTATGAGAAAATAAATTTTTGTTGATTTAAGCTACTGAGTTGCAGTCATTTGTTATAGCAGTCCTAGGAAACTAATACAGACTTTTAGGATGAGAACATTCTTCACAGAGCCTTGAGGGGAGGAGAGGGGAAAAAAAAAAAAAGAAGATTGAGAAGAGTGGTGCCTGAAGTGGAGTAAAGATAACATTCCCAGGAAGAGGGAGTGATACCCCCTCTGCTGCCTGTAACGCGTCCTGGACTCCTGATCTTGTTTTGATCCCGACTGGCTCATCGTCAACTACGCAGTTTGCCTCACAGCTGCTAACATCTGGTCAGTTGCCTCAGCTTATTGGTTTGACTGGTTTCGTTGATGGCAGTCACTGTCTGGGCAAGCTTGGTCTATGTGAACAGAGCTCCTGGAATACTTGTCTTCAAATATCAGAGTGCATTTGAGTCAACCAGTTGTGCGCACACAGAGGAAACAAGCTTCTGAGAAATAATGTCAGGATCACTGGTGACAACCACTATTGGTCAAAAGTAACTTTTTCAGTGTCTCCTGGTGGTGCCTAAACTTTTCCCACGAGTTTTGTCTTTATATGCAGGCATCAGATAAAATTCGACTACTTTAATACGATTAAACCATCATGAGCCATCAACGTATTAGCTCTGTGGGAAGCTGCTTTCTGGAGTGAGTATTGTGGAGTGAGAAAGGAGCGAAAACTCTAGAACCAAGGTAAGATCCAAAAGGAAATGATCTGGGAGTCCTGGGCATGTGGGAATGTTAGCGAGGAATTGAGGGGGAGACTAAAATGAATATGATGGAATGAGAATAAATCATGCTCATGTCTATTTCTTTTTGTGCTGGCTGTTCAGAGACCAAAAGTGGCCATTTACTGAGGTCCATTTAAAGCCACTTCCTGAGGACCTGCTAAAGGTAATGCACCCTTTTAGGTGGATACTAGAGCTACAAGGATGAATGGGTCCACTAGAAGTCTGACTCTCAGTGGGGGAAGGGAACAGATGTTGTGAATGACAGTAAAGGGAAGAAACAATGCCACATCCCACAGCTTCTGGGCAGCGATGCCCTCAAGAGAGCATCAGAGTTTTTAATGTTAAGAGCTGCATGGAGTTCTACCAGAAGGAAGCCATGAACACCAAAAACACACTAAAGAGTTCACAGGAATCTGGCTGCTCAGAGATTCAAGCTTAAGTCAGATACCTGCCAAAGGGGAAAAGTGTGGCACCTCTAAGTAGACCACCGCCCACAGGCCTATGCGTTGGCCATTTCCTGGGGAAGGAATCTTCTGGAACTTGAAGAAATAGCAGAAGCTTGATGGAGAGAGGATCGGTGGAGTCTTTCAGTTTATGTGACAAGTTGTTATAGGATCCTTATCAGGAAGGAAAGCACACAGTATTTTCTTCATGAATCCTCGTGGGTTTCACCACGGGAATGCCTCTGGCCTTATCCTTTGGCCTCCCCGCTCCTGCCTTAATCCTGAATAAAGGAGCTCAATAAAGGAGTGTGAAGGAGCTCAAATGGCGATCCCATTGGAGAATTATTTTTTTTGTCATTATAGGCAAGAAAAAAGTGGCAAATGGAGACAGTTATTTGCTTAATTCAGTGTCCTTGGAGTCATATGCATATTTTGCTCAGTTTTTTATTATTCGGGGATCAAAGTTGCTTTTTAGGCCTAAGGAACTCAGGGAATTGGTGAAGTTTTCAGTTCTTTTTTCAAGAGTGGGCATGGCTTTGAGAAAACAGTTTTTACCCTCCCACCTCTCCCATTCCATCTCTGATAAAAATGTATTAAGAAAATGAAGCCAAGTGAAGCAAAGTTCAAGAGCAGGGGAAAAGCTGATCCAAAAACTTCAGCGACAGCCGCTGGCCCCAGGAACTCACAACTGATAAAGAAAACTTGGGGCCGGAGAATTTGAGATGAAGGGGATATTAGCAAGTGGAGCCGAGCCAACCACATCATGAAATTTTGCAGGAAGTAAAAAGAGGGAATGGGGAATTAATTATAACAAATTCCTCCTAAAACACTGAGAACTAGTTGGAGACAATTGCATAGGTTATCCAGAGGGTAACTTGGAATTCTGCAAGGTTTCAGAGAGCTTTTTGCTCACAAAGGAAGCTATAGGAACCTCTGCCAAGCATATGGAACTGCCAACTTGAAGTCAAGAGAGCTTGCTTCTGAGCCTCCTGGGAAAGGGCTATGTGGACACAGATGGCAGGTTTGCTTTCCATTTAGTAAGGAGTAAACTTAAGTTTGTTTGGGTCTTTTACTAGTTTCTGTCCCCTGCTGATATTTCCCTTGGCAGAGAATGATTGCATCGACCAAGCCAAATAAATGCAGGCAATAAATCCAGTGCTGCTTTATATTCTATTAACTCCAGCAGGGGTTCGAAGGCCCCCAAGACAAACATGCCTATTGTGATATGGAGGCTCATTGTTTGAAGAGCAGACCAAACCCTAAAAAGGGTCTCATGTCTAAAGCAGAGGCTAAGAATGGTTTGGGGTTGTGGGTCATTCCAAGTCAGTTTGCTTTTGGTCACTCTTCTCAAAGGATGGTGGGCAGACCAGAAAAATTATTCTGGAGGGAAAGCCAAACAAATAAGGATTTTAGTGAGGCTGAAAATAAGGCTGCCAAATGCTGCTCACTCTAACCCCACTTTATTGGCAGCGAAGCAAGTTGAATACTTGCTACGAAGACTAGCCCTTTCTTAGAAGTGACCCTGTTGAGAAAAACATCTCATGTTTTGTTAAATGGTCTGTCTCTAAAGAACACTGTAAAAGAGAAACTCTGGCTGTGACTTTGACCAAGTCAGGTGGTCTTGCAACCCATGAGGCGGCTGAGTCCCAAGCATTCAGATTGATACAGAAAATGAAATTAACTGTGGGAGAAGATACAGCATTTAATGCACTACTTATTTTTGGATCTTGTCTGGGAAGAAGGTCTCCATTTCCTAAACCTAACCTGGGATAGGCCGTCACTTCTGAGCTATTTATACCAAAACTTAGTTGGCCTTATGCATGAGGTGTAAGGTAAATAGGATTCCCTGTTGGCTTATGGTTTTGAACCCAGTATATTCTCTTGTGGACACAAAGGGGATGTGGTGGAATCAAAAGCATTCATTGAATACTCTTCCTATTGTTTTAAATCAAGGCCCAGAAGTTTCAAGTAGACTACATGTGCAAACAAACTATCTGAAGACAAATTTGATGAGATAGCCAACAGGGCTTCTTGGGCTCATCCTGGGACTGCTGAGGTGGTCCCAGCGGGTGCTTAGAGAAAGAACATAGAAAATTAGGAATGTGGGTTGACATGCCCCACCTCTGATAAAGTTGATAAGTTGAACAACCAAAATGAAGAATGACCTCTTACATTTTGGGGTAATTTCCCATCTGTGCCTAAGAAGAGAAATAACAATTGGGTAGATTTCTACTGAAAATTTCATGTAATAATTTAACATGAATGACCTAATATCCAGCTGTCCCCATGAGCTACCAAATTATACATCCAGCTATGTATACTGAAAACGCCAGGGGGCTCCTCATATTAGGAACATGCTATTGAAAAAGACCCCTTGCAGTTGGGAGTAGAAATAGAGCATGTGTTCATGAAACGTGGTTTCATGTAATGCTTTTCCCTTAGCATATTTCTCTGTGCTCTTTGCCTTACCAAAGTTTGATATTCCATCTCTTCTCAATGACTTTAGGAGACACCACTTTGGGCTATCTGCATAAAACTTTTGCTATGATATAGGATTTAAGTCATTTGAGTTTTCACTCACAGCATTCAGGATATCGAAAACTAAGGGTGCATTTTTCACTCTTCCCATCCTTACACCTATAGGTTACAAGTCTTTCATGCTACAGATATTTTGTTAGGATCTCTATGGTTTGCTATATCATATCTCACAACCCACTAAAGTTGATTCTTTAAAAAGTTCTAGGCAAGAACGTTGCAGCCCATCTTCAGTTCTGAAGGAAAGGTGGAGTAGCTCATACAATAATTCCATCTACTTTGCTTCTGTGTAAATCTGTGTTTAAGATATTTTAAGAAGAGAGAAATACACTTTTACTTACTCTAAGGCTACACATCTTAAACTGAGTTACACCCACCCTGGGAGGTTAGCAGCTGGAGGGAACTCAAGGCTACAGGATCAACCCAGTGCATCTTTCTATATTAAACAAATGCAGATGCATCAGGAAACAGAACTTTATCTGGGGATAGCTTCATAAGGATTTGGCAACGATGCTGTTTTCTCAGGTGTTTTCTTTTGGCATGAGCTTGGGCTCCTTCGGGCTCCCTCAAGCCCCACCCTCTCTCAACTTTGAAGCCACTGTCAGCTAGACATGAGATATATTCTTTAAAAATCTTGATGGCAAGCATCATTAGGAAGCAAAAAATCCAACTATGTATGGGCTGAGTAACTGCAAAAGGTTTAACTAAAGCTGCCCAGCCACAGTGTAGTGCGTCCTTTCTACCGAAGTATTCTTGTTTCATAAGAAAGATTGTTTTTCTTCCATTGTAAGCACCATCCCATTAGACACTGGACAGACCTCCTCTGAAAACTAGCATGCCTGGGTTGTAGAGTTCACTCTTACCTCTCTGGGCTTCAGCTATAAAAAAAGAAGCGTTAGGGGATCACCAAGGTCCTCCCCAGCTCTAACTCTGTGGAACTCTGAACACAGCACTAAGGAACCTCAGGAAATATTTTCCTCTGCTTATTGTTAGTTTCTTTCTGCTCCCTTTGCTGCTCCCAGGATGGTGCCTCCTCGGCGCTTCCTTCCCCTTCCTCTGCAGCTTCTCACCCCCTGCCTGTCGCAGGCTCTCACCTTCTCTTTCTTGGATTGCCTATTCCAACAGCCCCCAAACCTGTCTGCTATGATTCAGTCTTTCCACAGCACTGCAGTGGACCTATTTACAGTGCAAATCTCACCATGGTTCACCCTGCCTCAGTTCTCCCTCTGCCTCGTTTCCTAGAAAAGGACATCTGAGGAGGCTTACAAAGCTTTGCCTTCCTCTCCAATGTCACCTCTGTCTGCTCACTGCCTAGCAAATGAGCCCGCAGCCACACCAAGCTGTTTGTGGCTTTGCTTCTGCTCTCACCTCTGCTCCAATGCCCTCCCCACAACCTCACCCATCTACTTCACTTGGCCAACCCCTAATCTTCCATGAAGGAGACTGTTCCCTGGCTGAGTGCCCTGCCTGCTCCCTAAATACCCTGCATCTCTCCATCATGGCACCCCCATGAGGTTCCACAACTAACTGTTCTCTCTCTAAGGGGTCTCTCCTCAACTATGGGCTATGAGATACTTCAGAGCAGGAATAGATCATATTCATTGCATCCCCAGCATCTAAGACAGTGCTTCTCAACTGGGAGTTACTTTTCTCCCCAGGGGATATGTGGCAATGTCTAGAAGTATTTTTGGCTGTCATAACTGGGTGAGAGGTGCTACTAATACCCAAAGAGCAGAGGCCAGGGATGCTGCTAAATGAGCTAAAATGCACAGGATAGGCTCCCACAACAAAAAGTAATTGGGCCCCAAAATGTCAAAAGAAACCTTGATCTAGGGCAAAGAGTACATAATTTATGCTTCTTAATGAAAAAAAAATGTGAATCTATGTCACTGAACCAAGCACTGCTCTCAAGTGAGATCCATATGATAGTTATTAGGTCTGAGAAGGAATTCAAGTAATGTATTTGTTTCTTTCAGTACAATTTAGTTTAAGTCTAATCTTTCATTATAGACTGAAAGGTTGGTTCCAGTAAAAGTATTTCAGGTATCAACTGAATAAGTAGGAACAATATTTTGGGACAGTTCTATACTGAAACTAAGAATTCCTAACCTGAAATAGAATCACAGAATGTCAGAAATAAAAGTGGCTATAGGAACCACCCAGCTAAACTTGCCATCTGTTACAA